TTGGACTTTGGTTGCACTTGCAGAAAATGGAAGAATTATGGGGAGCATAACAGGAATACCAGCTTCTAACATTCCTAACAAGTTATGGTTAGTCTTCCAAGCACTTGCTGATATTGCCTTTGCCTATCCATACTCAATGGTCCTTCTTGAGATACAGGTACCTCAACATTTCATATTCTTACTAGATGGATGACATAGGGTAGAAAATATACAAATTTATCTCTAAAATAAAGTATTGAATTATTTTTATTTTTTTTTTGAGCAAAGGATACTCTAGAGTCCCCTCCACCAGAAAATCAAACCATGAAGAAGGCCTCTATGCTTGCAATCTTTATTACAACATTCTTCTACTTATGTTGTGGATGCTTTGGATATGCAGCTTTTGGAAATGATTCACCAGGAAACCTCTTGACAGGGTTTGGGTTTTATGAGCCTTTTTGGCTTGTTGCCTTTGCTAATGCTTGCATTATAATTCATTTGGTGGGAGGATATCAGGTACTGATTGCGCTACTAATCACAATTGATTTATAATTTCTCATAAGAAGTTTTTTTTATTTGTCTAATGTCAATTGATGAAACATCATTATTTATCAAATGAGTAAACCAATATATCATAAGGGATTTAGATGGAAAATAGTTCTATTGTTATATGATTTAAAAGTGTTACACTAACCGTCTTTGAAGAAGCAACACAATCATGCCACTTTTGCATAATTGCTGCAAGTTGTAAACACTAAACATTTTGTCTTCTTTACAAACAGGAAAAATCCAAAAGGGAAAACCATGCAATTAGCCTATAATAAAAGCAACTTCTCTTAGATATGTTGTGTACCACTAAAATTTTCACTTTCTTTTTGTTACCTAACAAGCTATTCATACTTTTGCTTCTTATGTATGATCTTCTAATCAGATTTACAGTCAACCAATATTTAATGCTGCTGATAGATGGTGTTCAAGAAAATTCCCAAATAGTGGTTTTGTGAATAACTTCCACAAAGTGAAGCTACCTCTATTGCCTACTATTCAGATAAATCTATTCAGGTTGTGTTTTAGAACAGCCTATGTGATTTCAACAACTGGAGTTGCAATCTTGTTTCCCTACTTCAACCAAATTCTCGGATTGTTAGGAGCCATAAATTTCTGGCCATTGGCTATATATTTCCCAGTAGAGATGTACTTTATACAGAAGAAAGTTGCACCTTGGAGTAGAAACTGGATTATTTTCAGAATATTCAGTTTTGTTTGCTTTCTTGTGACAGTAATGGGCCTAGTTGGGTCACTGCAAGGAATTATAGCTAAGAAAATTAGCTGAAAGAGTGATTCAGTTTAATTTTAATTAGATAAGTAGGGAGAAAATATAAATTTCATTTGATTGGAAGGTATATTGGAAAATTATTTTCACTCGTTATTTGATGTGTTAGTTTCAGACGTAAGTTTATCGTATCAAACATTTCGAGATTCATATTGAAACTAAATTTAAAACAGCAATCAAACACCAAGAACTTGTTTGTTTTTATTCTTGTTTTTAATTTTTAAAAATTATATTTTTAAAACAATTTTAAAAATCGCTTTAAAGAAAAAATAAAAATAAAATTTGTTTATTAGTATAATTTTTGAAACAATTAAGTTCATATAAAACTTATTATTTATATTAAATATAAAAAATTACTTTTAAAAATAGTTTTAAGAACTTACGTTGAGAAACAAGTTTTTTGTTTTAGCTTTTAACAAAAAAAAAACTGTTTTTACAAACAAAAAACAAACAACTCTGACATACTATATCCTTTGTAAAAAACCTGGCAAAGTTTAATTTAAAACATGTTATTTCATTTTAAGAGTTTTAAGATTTGAATAGACGGGACTTTCTTAACTAGAATTTTCAATTTTTATGTATTTCAGTTTAGTTTATTATTTTTTTTAGCTTTATGAACCATTTTAAAATTCCAAAATACCACTCAAACAATTACTAGACTCATGATATAAAAATTAATTTAATTAAAATATATATTTGCATCTAATAATAAATTATCATTTAATCACGAAGCAGTGAAAATTGTTGACTTGATATTTTATCTAACATATTTTTTTAACATGTGACTTTAATATATAATACGAAGTTGATAAATAATAAATTTTTAATTAAAAATTATATTATTTAATATTATTAATATATTAAATTTATAATTTTAATAAAAAACTATTATACATGGATGCATATTTAAAAATTTATTTATGTAAATATTATTTATCATACAAAACTTTACCTCAATGACATAAAAATTAAATTCTTAAGAAGTTCTCTATTATGATTATTATTACATTGATGCTTTAATATTATTTTTTTTACTAACACACAAGACTAATATATACAGCTTTTATATATAAGCTAACGGATTTATAAAATTATCACGTTTTATTATTTTATGATTAAATGACAAAGAATTTAAATTCATAACACATTAGTACCAGCTGAATTTCAAGTGTTGAATGGAGTTCCATTTTTTGGTGATGATGTTTAAATTAAAACTGAAACAAGTATTAACAAATTTAAATAACGATTTTAATACACATTAAAATGTAGAAAAAAAATCATTATGTCGACTACTGATCAGGTCTAATTATTGACAGGACTATTTTATTGTTACATTTTATTTTTGCATGATTCTCATAGCTCCAATAGATTCCAATGGCGTGTCACATTGAAATACTCTGTTTGATTTCGATTTTTTCTGTGGGTACTATGTATTTGGTACCATGAATTATATACACGTGTAGCTGTACATTTCAGAAGCTACTAAAAAATCTCCTTTCAAATTCCAAAACTTATGATGTTACAAATAATTAAATATATTCAAGGAAAAGCAACCCCCAAAATCCCTTTTTCAGTAAAAAGCAATTTTTATTTTAATATTTCACGAAAAAAAATGTAAAGAATTTAAATCTGTGTTTCTCTGCTGTAAACAAATATGTGGTATTTTTTTTTTTCGTCGATATAAAGTCAGTTTTTATATCTGCAATAAACATATTTTTCAATAAAAACGTGTAATTAAACTTAATCTTTATATATGTTACAATTATACTTGACAGTTTAAAACTAATTTTGCTAAAATCAATTATATTTAACTATCCATTTAATTTAAACATTAAATATATCTAAATATGTACATAATTAATATAAACTACATATTTTTATTAAAATGTTATTTTTCAGTAAAAGAATAAAAACTAATTTTTCATCTTTAAATCAAACAAACCAATCTAAATTTCAGGCTTCTCAAGGCCATTTAAACAAGAAAAGCAAGTGCTTCATGTGACAACACCCCATTATGGTAAACTGCATGTGTTCTGTATATACAATTTATAAATAAGTATATTTGAACTACAATTGACTTAATTTTATATGTATCAATTATTCATTTGAATGTCTAAATTGAAAAATATCAAAGAATGTTGATATTAAAATTCCTCTCTAATCATAATGATAGGAAAATTGACAAGTGCCACATGTTAAAGTATGAGCCTCTTAGCAGACAAAAACAAAATGAAAAGGACCTTCAAACCAATGGGTATGATCCAGATGATGGCAACAAAAGATGCTTCTACATATTTCTACAATCATACAGAAGAAAAGAGAGCTTTCCTCAGTTTAGCAACCCTAAATTTTGAAGTGTTGGCACATTAATTTAACTTAACCAAGTTTTGGGAATAAAGCCTCTTTAGGGGCTTGTTTTCTTTTTCTGTTTAAAATTTTAATTCTTATATTTTTTTAATGAATTATTTGATTTAAATTAATTTTTTTGAACTTTAAAACCAAATGGATGCTTAAGTTTCTCACATCCTTTTCGTGGCTTTATGAAATTTCTAAATTCTACTAGCACCATTTATAACATGCAGCCTAAATTGCTTTTCTTGTAAGTAGTTGATATGTGGAAAATTTTCAATTTTAAATGTTGAAATTAAAAAAATCAGTGAAAGCAAAAACTAATTGCAAATTTTATGCTTAGCTAAAAAAAGTTTACTAATTGAATTAGCAAACACTTTCATCATTGTTTTTTTTTTTCTTGAAAAGTAGTTTTTTTCCCCGAAAAAAAATGATTACTTTTGTTCTTGACAAGATTTACGGATCATGGAGTCTTGGAAGAATAAAATAATAATAAAGTATATGAAAAGCTTATATGTGTGTCAATCATGTCATCACTAATATTTTATTCAATAAATAAATTACGTTACATATTTTATTAAATATTTTCAATGAAAGAAATTTTTTATTCTATATTTACGGATACATAATGAGAAGTGAAAAAATATTAAAAAATATTTATCATATTAAAATATCTTAAATATTTAATAAAAACGTATATTTAAAAGGTAAATAGAGCCCCAAGGAATTAATTTTTAAAAAATAAATTATCAAAACTATAAAAAAAAGGACATATATTTGATGTATTAAAATGTTTGAAAATTGTTTTTTTCTACAAATTAAATGGAAAATGTAAATAATATTTTGTAATTCCCCGGTTTAAAATCATTAAAGGTGAAGATAATTGTTAGATAAATAAGTTTATTGATCACGATTCTTAACTATGCTTACAAAAAAGATGTTATCAGCTATATAATATGAATGATTTGATAAGGAAGACAAATTAGTCATAGTCTCACAGTGATAGCTCAAACTACTAATAAAATAATGGCTTTAATACTTAATAGTAAATTTCTTGTTTTATTTTTTTAAAAATGATTTTTTGTATTTTATTTTTTATTTTTTATTTTTATAAATTTTTAGTGTTGATTTAGTCTATTTAAGTACTATTAAGTGTCATTTAAGGAGAATAAAAATAATCGGTAAAAAAAAAGGGTTCAAAATTCAAAATAAAAAGAAGTCACACGAAGAACCCAAAAAATTGTTAAAATATAAGAAAAAGTATATTTAAGTAAAAAAAATTGCAAAAAAAAAAATGAAATGAAAAATACTATAAATATACAGATAACACGACAAAACATTGTATTTTGTATTAACGGGGCTGATCTTACACAAACGCAAGCCAATTGAAGGAAAATCAAAATCTGAACGGTTCTTCAGTGAAAGAATCTGAGTTCTTCTAAATGAGGTGAGTGAGAGGTGAGAGGTAGAAGCAGGGAATCAGTTTCAACCAGCGTTTGAATTTTGGTAATCTGATCGTAAACCATGAAACAAGAAGGTTCCACAACTGACAGCACCCCTTTATTGGAGGCCCAATATGCAGATTTTGGGGTCAAAAGAACTGGTTTGTGTTTTTCTCATCTTAAATTTTCATTTTCTTTTTCAGTGAATCTTTTCCTTGCAAGAAAGAGAGAACAGATAGAAAATATGAATCGTAGTTCTGTTTCATCTGCATTATTATTCCTAATATCTTGATCATGTTAAGAAATTAAGAAATAATTTTTTTATTAAAAATCGGAATGTATTAAAAATTATGAAATATATTTGATCTGTTATGTAGAAAATTTTTTGGGTGGAATTGAGGAATGATTATGTGGGTGTTGTTGGAATGTGAATGATAAAACAGGCACAGTATGGACTGCAGTAGCACACATAGTGACAGGAGTGATAGGGTCAGGAGTGTTGTCTTTGGCATGGAGCATTGCACAGCTTGGATGGATTGGAGGCCCTCTCACTATTCTTCTCTTTGCTTCCATCACTCTTCTTTCTGCTTTTCTTCTTAGCAACACATATCGTGCACCTGACCCTGAATATGGCCCCCAAAGAAGCTCCTCCTACCTTGATGCTGTTAATTTGCATAAGGGTAAGATTCTATTTTTCATTTCAATTTCAATATACATCAACCTCACCCCTTGTAATTAATCAATGTGTATTTGAAAAAACGTTAAAAAATGTAAGTCTAAAAGTTACAATTGTTAGAATAAATGCAGATCTTAGATAGTTTGAAAGTAAATCCAAACATGATTCCTTGTTCATGTTATCTTTTTAGTAAATGTTCTTTGATAATGTTTATTTCGTTTATTAATTATATTTCAATGTGCATATTACCCGTTTTGATCTATTCAAGTGGTCGTTGATCTGATAAGATAAAGTGGAGTAAATAATGGATGAAGGTTTCTTTTGTTATTACTTTATGATAATAAAAATGTAAAGCGAAAATGTAGCTTTGACTTATAGAAATAGAAATGTGAGTGAGGGCCACTTTGAATTGGAATATGTGTGAGGTGTCCCATATCTAACCAACTAGTTTGGTTGTGTCACGGCAACTATAAAATCGCCTTCTGTTGTGTGGTAATCACAATGGACCCTCTTAAATGCTTCCACATGGATCTTGCTCATTACATTTTCATCACTCTCTTTGTCCATAATCCATACAGAACTTGGAAAAATTGATTCTAATGAACTTGGAATGATTGATCAGTGACTGTTGTTGGTTAATACGTATTAATAATTCACTAATTGGATGGCCTGATTTATTTGTGTATTCAGTATCGTTAATTTGTGATTTCTGAAGAATTCTCTTCACAATTTTTTTGTCTTAAAATTATTGATCTTGAAATTTATATTCGTTTTGTTGATAAAATATATTGTGAAGTTTTATTTAGTTCTTTGTCTCTTTTATATTTTATACCGTAATGCTTCATCTAAGAATTTATTTGGTGCATGACGTATATGAAACCAGAAATTTGACGTATTTGTTCAATAATTAATAATACATGAACAACGGATAGGCACGAAGTCCACGTTACAAGGGTATTGCGACTTTCTAGGGGTTATACTAAATCATATTTATTTTTTTTACTCTTTGAATAAGTTATTCTAAGAAGAATTTTTATTGATGTTACTCTATTTACTAATTTTTATAAATATTAAATTTTATCAATTTAATTATTGAATAATGTAATATTAGCATGTTAATTATATTATACATTAAAATAAAGTTGCTTGATGAAGTGTTCATCAATTTTTTATTTGCATAAATTTTTATATAGTTAATATACTCAATAAGATCTTTTAATTCAACTGTTAAATTGATGAAATTTAATGTTCATAAAAAGTTATTAAGTAGACAACATTGATAACAATTACTATTGAAATAACTTAATCCGCTTCCATTTTTTTCTTGGGCAGGGACCAAGTTACTCCCAAGTGTAACTTTTCTCAATATTGCTCCATTGAATAACACTTTATAAATATTAAAATATTCCGATGCTAAGTTAAAGAACAACTATGAGAATTATACAACTTTGCTAATTTAATACTGAGAAATGTCATCACTTTTACTAGATAGTGTTAACATGGTGGTTATGATTAACGAGTGGTCTGATGAAAGACATCATGATGAAACGATTATTATGAAAGCAATGGTGGATGAGCCATGGTGATATTGATAATGGAGCTTTGGTAGGTTATATCAGTGAACTTTCTTCTTTTGGCTGCTTTACTTTCATAGCATTAAGCTTAACATATGTTAGTGTAAGTTTATCAAGTGTTAAATGTTTCATCTAGCTAGTTTGTATATAAATTTTGATCAAATATGCTAGCACATTTAGAATGGAATCTAAATATGTTTCTATATGCAAGAGTGTTTTTACATGATCTTAATTGGGTGGTTACAGGAGCAGGTAACAGTCGCTTCTGTGGTGTTTTTGTGAACATTAGCTTATATGGTTTTGGAATTGCTTATATCATTACCGCATCTATCAGCTTAAGGTTTGTTCAGCAACTTAGCACTTTATTTTCTCTCTTGTTTTGCTATTTCCTTTTCTTTGCTCTACTTTCCCTGCATTTATCCATGGGATGCTACTTGTTATGAACAATATTTCTCACTGTACCAATGTTGCTAAATAATGATTTCATTTATTTGTACTGTTATGTGTGTTTGTGGCTGCAGAGCAATCCAAAAATCAAACTGTTACCATAGTAAAGGAAATGCAACAGCATGTGAATTTGAGGATTCATATTTCATGCTTATTTTTGGGGCTGTCCAAGTTGTTCTCTCACAGATACCAAACTTTCATAACATTCAATGGCTGTCGATTCTTGCAGCAGTTATGTCTTTTGCTTATGCTTTCATAGGAATGGGACTTTCCATTGACAAAGTTGTAGGTATGCCCTTCAAGATCAGATTATTGGGGTGTTTCCTCAGGCATAGAATGATTGATATGTGTATGGACTCTTGTTTGATAGTATATGATGATGTCACACTATATATTTTGACCAAATACATGTATATTATTTTATTGTAATCATTTGCTCAGAAAATGGGCATGCTGATGGTAGCATTGAGGGAATCCCTACGTCAAGTGGAACTGAAAAATTATGGCTGGTTGCTCAAGCACTTGGTGACATCGCATTCTCCTACCCATTCTCAGTAATTCTTATAGAAATACAGGTATGTGTATCCAGTGATCTCAAGTATGCAGAATGTAACTTTACCACATCCTTGAGGAAAAGCTTTGAACAATTATGAAGGCTAACATAACTTGCTGCAATTCTTGAAGGATACATTGAAGTCCCCTCCACCAGAAAACCAAACCATGAGAAGGGCCTCAACAATATCAGTCATTGTCACAACATTTTTCTACCTTTGTTGTGGGTGTTTTGGATATGCAGCCTTTGGTAATGATACACCAGGAAACCTTTTAACAGGGTTTACATCCTTTAAGCAACCATGGCTTGTAGACTTTGCCAATGCCTGTATAGTGATTCACCTTGTTGGTGCATATCAGGTACATATAATATCAACAATTTTGTTAACCCCAGACCTTAAGATTAATTTAACCATCTAAAAGTAGTAGGTTTCTATTAAAAAGGAAAGGATTTAGTGCACTTGTATAACTCCAGTGTACTGACTGTTTTTTTTTAATAAAAGCTAACTAGTTTTAGATGCTTAAACTTAGCCTTAAGAACTGAAGTTAACCAATTCTTAATTTTAACAATATCTTCCTCAAATTTTATTATGGCGCTTCCATTTTGTGCCTCTTCTATAACTTGTCTAGCAAAGTAATGTGTCATGTCATCTATCTTGTTGTGATGCAGGTGTATAGCCAGCCACTTTTTGCCAATGTTGAGAATTGGCTTCGTTTCAGGTTCCCAGACAGTGAATTTGTGAATCACACATACTCCTTGAAACTCCCATTACTGCCAGCTATTCCACTGAATCTTCTCAGGCTCTCTTTTAGAACTGCATATGTTGTGTCAACAACTGTGATTGCAATGGTCTTTCCCTATTTCAATCAGATATTGGGAGTTTTGGCTGGCATAATCTATTATCCCTTAACCATATATTTTCCCGTGGAAATGTACTTGAGTCAAGCCAATATTGAAGCATGGACTGGTAAGTGGGTGATGCTTAGGACATTTAGCGTTGTAGGCTTTGTGGTGGGATTGTTCACTCTTGTTGGATCCATTGAAGGAATAGTTACTGCAAAACTAAATTGAGATTATGGTTGTAATTGCGGAATTAGATTACGGTTGCCTTTTTATTTTTATTTTTTGCACTTTCTTTGAAAGCCAGTATTAAACATAGGATAGTGGCCTATTAGTGACCCTCTCATTTTGATAGCAAGCATTAAGAATTAAGCATGGAACATTGATGAATTCAAGGTTTAGCTGTTTTTCCTGTTAAGGTGTAGGCACTAAAGATGCGTGATTGAGTTTGCAAAAGCTTAAAATTGCATTTGTTTCTTGAAATAAACTTGAGAAGCTAGCTAGTTTCATCTGTAATACTTTGTTGAGACACAAATTGTAGTCTTGGTCATGGAAGAACAAAGTTGAGAAGGCCCGGTTATTGATCGTTTAACCACACCTTCATTGTACTCCAGAATAAATGAACTTCATTCTACTTTCAGTGTTTCAATTTTTGAGTTCCCCCCTCGTTTTAGAAGTTTCATTGACACAAGATGTTAGCTAAACTAATGGGAGAGGAAACTACAAAACAGGATCATTAATTCTATGAGTAGAATGTTAGAGACCAGGAGCATGTTTGATTTTCCTTTTAAAAGCAGTTTTCTGTTTTTAAAAATAAATTGTAGTATAAATTTATACTACATTTTATTTTTAAAAACAGAATAGAAGGAAAATCAAACATATTAGGATTCTTAAGTTCAGTAAGAAAGGAATTTTATATGATTTGGCGAATCTTAACGTTATTTTAACTACCTACAATGTTCTTATGTTTTCAATTATTCTTACAACAAACAAAATAGGAGAATGAACTACCACTCAAAGTGGTCCCTCTTGTAATTTTCTAAATTAACAGAAAAGCTAAGTGATTGTATTTGCAAGTAATAAACTAAAAATTTTAAGAGAGTAGATAAATTAATCACATATTGCGCTAGTGTATGACACCAAGTAATGTATAATAAGACATAAATTTAACTCTTTAAAAAGAAAAGGAAAAAAAAAATTAAATCGAACCAATAATTTGTAACAGAAGATTATAAATTCCACTTCCTTGTCATCTTGCCAAAATTTTAAAAATATGAAACAATTGTAGAAATAACGATTTTGAAATAAGGTATAATTTATATTAAAAAAATTATACAAATAATATCTTTAATAATATATCAAGCTCTCTAACAAATATCAATAACAAAAATTAAAACTAAGACATTAAAAGAAAAATGTTTAACATATATAAAAATATATATACAAAAAACTCATTTATTTTATTTTAAAATTTAAATTGACAGATTCAATTAAAATTACTACTAATAATTTTTCTAAAAAGGTTGAATCTAAGAATTGTACATGGAAATGACACATGATAACACTTTCCAAAGATATAATTCTATATATATATATATATAAAAAAAAAACTTGGATATATTCTTAATCTCTATATTTTAGTAATTTTTTATTTTATTCCTTCTCAAAAAAAAATTGTTTTAATTTTTATATTTTAGCAAATTATTGTTTTTAGCTTCTTTCACTAACAAGATCCCACCAAAAACTATTTGACTGTCTCTTAATAGAAAAATATCAGCAACAAGGACAAAAATAATAAAAAAATAAGAGACAAATTTGAAAAAACAAAAAAAAAAAATCGCTGTTAAATTAGATGGATCTGGTACTGATGTGTTCCGCCTCAGTTCTCTCTTCCTAGGTTCCCTATTGCTATAGCTTCTCATAGTAACAAGTGAAATCCATACGTAAAGAATTTGCTCAAAGACTGAAACCCCGCACGTGGACCTTGACATCGGTAACGTTATAGATAGAATCTAACCCTGCCACCCTTCCTCTGATGCAAGGTGAGGAAGTTTTGTGTGATCAAAGCAGAAACCTACCCAACATATGCATTAAGCACACAACCTATGAGCAAAACAGTCAACAAAGAGAGAGAAAGAGAAAGAGAGATGTTGACCAAGCATCTTGTGGGTGAGCTACCTGCCTCTCTCACACGCTCAATTGCGTTGAATTCTTTAATAAAATCATGCGCCTTTGATGCCTTTTGGCCTTCACCATGTACCCCATGCAATTCCAATTGGCACCCCTTATATATTAAGAATAGCAAGCTACTACCAGAAAAACAGAGAAAAGTAAAAAAAATACAAAAACCAATCCAAAGAAATATTCCACGTCTTCCCTTTTTGCCTCAAAGAATTGAAAGACTGGTAGAGTAGAACTCACAAGTTGTGAAAAAGAGGAGACAATTCTTATACTCAGTAGTTCCCTCCATTATTATAGTCCTCACTGGCCTCAAAATTGGAATTTCTTTCGGATAGAAGAATTAACATATTGAAAATATAAAGAATACAAAGAATGGGGCGGATTCCATGCTGTGAGAAGGACAACGTGAAAAAAGGACAGTGGACACCCGAGGAAGATAACAAGCTCTCTTCCTACATTGCTCAACATGGCACTCGCAACTGGCGTCTCATTCCCAAGAATGCTGGTTAGTCCTCCACTTCCTTATGTCTATATTGATATCATTCATATCAATGTCAATAAAAGACAAGCATTTATAGTCGATTTTGCTTACCAAATAGGCCTCCAGAGATGTGGAAAGAGCTGCAGACTAAGGTGGACTAATTACCTTCGTCCTGATCTCAAACATGGCCAATTCTCTGATTCAGAAGAGCAAACCATTGTGAAGCTTCATTCAGTTTTCGGTAACAGGTATATTGAGTATTAGCCATACATTGAAATTATTGTTGTTTGTAGCGTAGGTGAGTCTTTATTATATTATTCCCTTTTTCTTTTGGTCTTTTATCTTAATGTTCTCTTAAATGGATGTTCAGATGGTCACTGATAGCAGCTCAGCTGCCAGGACGCACTGACAATGATGTCAAAAACCACTGGAACACCAAGCTGAAAAAGAAACTGTCAGGTATGGGTATAGACCCTGTTACACACAAGCCATTCTCCCATCTAATGGCTGAAATTGCCACAACATTGGCACCCCCACAGGCAGCTCACCTAGCTGAAGCGGCTCTTGGCTGCTTCAAAGATGAGGTTCTCCACCTTCTTACTAAGAAGCCAATTAACTTCCAGGGCCAACACTCCTCTGCAGCATTGGGGAATAACATCACCGATTACATTAACTACAAGCCAGAAAAGGATGAAACTGCTGAGAAGATTAAGTTTGACATATCAAAGGCCATACAACAAGAACCTGAAATGATACCCTCAAATAAACCTTGGGACTCCACTGCAGCTACATCTGCAAGTTTTGCAATGCCATACAGTGTTTTCCCTACAATGCCTGTGTTTCAATTCTCTCCAGCATCATTTGGCAACAAAGGGGATGCATCTCCATGGAGCCAAAGTGTATGTACTGGAAGCACATGCACAGCCACCATGGATCAGCAAAGCCAGTTACATGAAAAGGTTGCAGAGGAAAATGGTGATTCCGAGGCTACAAAGGAAATTAGAAATCTATCCAATATATTCAATACAGACTGTGTCGTGTGGGATTTACCAGCAGATGATTTAATTAACCCCATTGTATAAAAAAATTACAGAAGAGAGGAAAGCTAAGCTCAACTTCTGAAACTGGATTAAGGAATAAACTTCTTATGAAGATTATCAATGGTACAAAATGTAAATAAGAGCTATTTTTACAAATTATGAATACAGTCAATACACCAAAAATGAAAAGCATACTTTCCCTAACCAATATTTTCAGTACTCTCGCCCAACAATGTCTTTGGAATATTTGATCAAGCAAAATATGACGATGAAGAGGATGTATCTGCCAGAATCTGTGAATATGAGAGTTTAATTAGGGGAAAAATATAAAGAAAGGAAAACAGAAGTAATAACCAAAATTTCTAAATTACAGGGCATAATATGTTTGGATTTTTAGAGAGCTACCTCAAGTTGCTCTTCTGTAAACAACTCTTTTTGAACATTCCATGTATCAGCATGGGTACGCCGGAACTCTGCAACTGCTTTTGTAACGGTAGATTTCACAGGGGATGGCTCTCCACTGAATCGAGCTAGTAGAGTAACATGCTCAGGCAACCAACTAAAAGATAGATAATGCTGTCAGATAAGGATAAGAGAAAAATACAGTGGAAAAGGAATCAATTGATGCATAATCAATCCCTTCAAGTGTCTGAAAAATAAAAACAATATCGTGCATCCTTGTAAATCTGGTATAGAGTATAAGACACCGAAGCTTATAGTTCTTTCAAGAGTTCAGCTAGACTAAAAATTGTGCCTGTGATTTCAGGAAAATATTTTGGATTTCTCTCTGCATCACTGAACTTCAGTCAAATTCAATTACCATCAAATTGGAAAAACTATGTTTGTGTAATTAGATTATAGTCATAGCAATACCACTTAAATCATTTATACTCTACTGAGATAGGTACATCTCATACTTCTGACATTTCATATTTCTTCTTCTATACTGAGAGATGAACTCACATTTCCAAGTGATTCAAAAATTGAAGATGGCAGTACCAATATTGAATCAGGTAGGAATTTCACAATATGTCAACCAAAGATAAATTTAATGTCTTTAATTAAATCAACTAAATGGAATGACCCAACGTATAACATTTTGCAACATCTCATGTGTTCATTTTACTGAGTCATTACATGCATACCAAATTATCAGTTCATAATCATATTGCATAGCATGGATATTACTGCTAAACAAACCTGGGCATGTCATATGGGGCTGATAAAACTGAAGCTGCCAAAGCTAGTACAGCACCATGAACAGATGCTACAGATGAGCCAGAACTTGCATTTCTGCATTAGAAAATTTCCACCCTTCATCAAACTTGGCATGTTGTAGCTAATAAAAATGAGAATTTACTCAATAACCATAGTTGAAAGGTGGCCGCATCCCAGTCCTTTAATTATATGTGTTAAACTTGGCTTGGCTTAGTTATTTATATTTAAGTTGAACTTCATTTTGATTCAGACTTACATACTATAAACTAAAATTTTATATATTTTGCTATATAATTTTGGGGTTCCCACAGGAGCCTATAGCCTGTGGGAATGGATATGGCGTGCCATCCCGAATAATGTTATTTAATTCAAAAAAATGAGCCAGCATTTTGGCTTTTTTTGAGGCCCACTTCTGTGCAAAAGTAACAACTAAACCTCCAAGAAACATGAGGAAAAGAATAACCTCATCTTTCTTCTCTTTTGTACAACGTTTGCCTCCACATAAGCTCTATCACGGAAATCTTTAGCTAAATCTTCATCTCCACCCTTCATTAAGCCTGCTAAAACTGCTGCAGCATGTTCTCTTACCTAAAGCAAAGATTAAGTGTTCTGTAATGAGATTATTTAAAATAAAATAGTCATATGAGACTAAATGTAAATCGAAACCGTCAATAATGGATGCAAGCGCAAAAAAACATGGCATATTTCAGAATGTGGTTTCCCTAAAATATATGTTCATATCTGCACGAGGAACAACAGCCATATATAGATACAGGCAAATATTTTAAAGTATGACATGTTTTTTTCTACAGCTACATGACACAAGCTCCCATTAAGTATATGATCTTAGTCCAGTCCACAACCCAGTTCTTAAACAGGAAAGAGGTGCCATGCTACTAGACAAGTAGAGTCCTCTAAGGTGAAACTTTTTGACAAGGTTACTGTGTTTGTTAAGTACAAGCATTTCATCCTAACCCAAGAATATTTTTTATTTATATTCAAATAACTTAGAAGAAAGAGCTTACCTCAACTTGGTTGTCTACTAGTAACTTCTCAACAGTTCTCCAAATTTCTTGTTTCTTAGAACTCGAGAGAATGAACGTGTGCCTGTTAAAGAAGGAACAAAACTTAATTTACAGCTGCTTCGTAACAGACAAAAATGTAAAATTTTTGAGCTACAAGCTGTAACAGAAAACCTCTAATAAATGAGAAAATGATTATCGGTGAAAAAATTATCTGTAAATACAAATTACTGACATTTTAAAACATGGATGAAAATACACTGACTTTGCTAAAAATAATTACCACATGAAGCTAGATGCTATAATTACTAAGCATGCAAACATTTATGGTACGGTACACCAAAGCAAACCTGTCACAAGATCATCATACCTGTACATGAATGTACGCAGATATGTCAATGTAGCAGATCTAGTTCGCCAGTTGGAATCATTGGCAGCAGAAAGAATGACAGATACAGCTTTTTGAAGGTGAGGCTCCCAAACAATCATCCATTTTAGTAATTCAAATGCTACCTTGGCTAATGTTGACAAATCCTTATTTGATGTTTCCTTCAAAAGCATATAAAATAATTCAGAATTGTGATAACTGATAACTGATACCCTCCCTACTTGATGATTTAAGAATCAAATCTAACAGACAAGGCTAGTTTTTTTTTTTTTTTCCTTTCTTTCTGGTAGAGCTCCTCTAAATGTATAAGAATGTGAAAAGAATCATTATAGCCTTCACTAAGTCTTGCATTAATAAGCAATCACAAATTGACACCTCCGTTTGTGTAACCACAAAATTTACATCTCAATTGAAGTAAGTTAAAATACTTATCCATTGCAAGAAAACCACCTAATACCTATCAATATCAATAATTAATGCAAGCACACCAACAAAGTACTCTTCAACTTCAATAGCCTCACAATATTAAGAGATTCAGAGATTTCAAGGGCTTATATTCTAGATTTAATTATAAGCTATTTGGCAGCCATATTACTGTTTTTACAACTTCGGTGGAACCACAACCTTGGAAGAAAGCTAAGGTTGATAGAAGACCAACTAAACATATATCATCCTATACTCAACTCCTGGAAGATGATATGACTCTCAAAATTAGTTGTGTTTTCATGAAACTCAGGTTGGACAAAAGCCAATAGAATCAAGACAATTAAAAGCATGCACAACAAACCAAAGAAATTATCAAAATGAAACATACATCAACGAAAATCACATAAAAAATCATATCAGATAACATTAATACAGTCAAACAAGAAGTAAAAAATTCAAATTATTATATAGTTGGATAGCCCAAACCTGCAAGGAGATCACAGGATATAGAAGCACCACAATCACATCGATTAGATAAGATGATCTTCCAGACTTCAATGATGAGATGATGAAGTAGAGTAGCTACATATGTTTGGAATAGTAAACAATTAGCAAATAATTTGGTATGTGAATGCAAAACCTATTAAGTTCTATGCTTTCATTAGTACCGTTTCCATCCATTTCATGTCATCTTGTGAATCACCATCTACATGCCCGTTTTGAGAACTTGTATCTACGGGATTCACCACTTTATCTGATTGGGTAGCAATCTGAATGTTCACAACTGCTTCAGCTGCTCGCTCCGTAAGAAACTGAACCCAGCTTTCATCTTTCATCATACCATCAACATTGCCATTTCTCTCATCACATGCATTATCATGATGACTTGAATGATATAGCCGAATGTTTGAGCACAAAACAGAAAGGGTAACTCCTAGAGACTCCCTCACCTGTTGCATTGACAAAATGAAACGAGGACAAAATCACTAACAAATAATAGAACTTGTAACCTCATGTATATTCATATTACTTAACCAATAAAAAAGATACCAGCTTTAGAGTCTACCACTTATTTAAACCACTACGGCATCAGCATTATCTCCAATTTAAACATTCTCCAAATTAAAACATGCGAAAAAATAGAGATCATATATATATGTAGCAGTACACATACAACCTGACCAAGCACTAGTTAATAAATTGCTTGATTATTTTGATAAAATTTCTTGCTAAGATTTCCCCTTCTTTCTTGTGAACTTTTTTCTTTTCCTTTTTTTTGGTCTGAAAGGCCTCACATTAGGCAGCCTAATATATAAAGACTTAAAATTCAAAATAATATATGTATTACTTCTCATAATTTACACCAACCCTATATATACATATAAAGAGATAAAGCAGAGCACAGTTTTATGTACAAGAATTAAACTCTTAAGAATGTAATCCACCAAATCAATGTAATAAAATAAGCCTGCAAAATATCAACTGTCCTCCATCCCTTTCCTCAAACAAATGCTAGGAAGAGATCCAGCTTAAGAATGTAATCCATCAACTAATGAGGTGTGTATATTGCCACTTTTAAGTGTATTGCCACACCTATTTAAGTGGTTATTGTTCAAAATACCATTTTTTCTCTCTTATAACCACATTAATTATGCATAAAAATTTCTTAAATAGGAGTGACAATATATGCTCCTTAACTAACAACATAATAAGAAGTGAGAAAACAAAATTAGAAGTCAAAGGAAGCAAAGAAATGGTCATTAAAACCATACATTCAATCCGCTGAACCAAAAAAATTGCAAGGATAACCAAGATCATGTGCTTCATTAAAGTATATAAATTGATATAATGAATCTAGGAAAAAGTAAGATAGAATAACATAAATGATAATCAAACTAGGCCATTGACAATGCAGTAACAGCAGTAAAAGTCTAAATTTCCAAAAATAATAAATGTTAAAAACTGATGCTGTAAATACTAAATAAAACTACAAGATGTCATTAGGGATTTGAA